GCAATTATTTGAGCAGGGTCTTGAAGGGTGAGTAGGAGTTAGCCAGGTGGCATTTTGATTAAGGATGAAAATAAATGGAAAACCAGGAAAATGTCAGAGGTATGGAAAATGTTTAGGGTAGCTGAGACTCATAGGAATGGGAGGAATGTGTAGTGTAGGGTGTGGTAAACTGTATTACTATTTGCAAATACTTGCTGCCGCTCCCCCTGACAACAGGCTTGGCCACGTGAACTGCTTTCAGTAGAAGCTTTAAGCACCATGTTCTTTGCTGTCTGCCATAGCAATCAGCAATGCTTCAGAAAAGGTCCCAGAGCAAAGACGATGTGTCTGAAGCAGAGACACAAGCAACCCGTAATGGGCATGAAGCATGAGTGAGAAATAATTCCATGGTTGTCATTCAGTAAGATTTTTGGATCGCTACCAGAGCATAACCTGGCCTATACAGCAGTGTGCATTTCCAGCTCTTAACTTCCAAGTGCATAGTAGGACTGCACTTTCCTGAACCTTTTAAGTAAGACGTGGTCATATGACTAGTTTTTGATCAATACTATGCAAACATAAGTAACATGTCATTTCATGGAGGAAGCTTTTAAAGCCAATTCGGGGGCTTCCCTGGTGGCACAGTGGTTAAGAATCTGCCTGCCAATGCAGGGGACACGGGTTCGAGCCCTGGTCCGGGAAGATCCCACATGCTGCAGAGCAGCTAAGCCTGTGCGCCACAACTACTGAGCCCGTGAGCCATAACTACTGAAGCCCACGTGCCTAGAACCCATGCTCCACAACAAGAGAAGCCACCACGATGAGAAGCCCACGTACCACAACAAAGATTGGACCCCACTCACCGCAACCAGAGAAAAGCCCATGTGCAGCAACAAAGACACAATGCAGGGCTTCCCTGGTGGCACAGTGGTTGAGAGTCCGCCTGCCGATGCAGGGGACACGGGTTCATGCTCCGGTCCGGGAAGATCCCACATGCCGCGGAGTGGCTGGGCCCATGAGCCAGGGCCGCTGAGCCTGCACGTCCAGAGCCTGTGCTTCACAACAGGAGAGGCCACAACAGTGAGAGGCCCGCGTACCACAAAAAAAAAAAAAAAAAAAAAGACACAATGCAGCCAAAACAAATAAAATAAAATAAAATAATTTATTTTTTTTAAAAAGCCAGTATGAATTCACCATGCTTTCTTTTCCCTGTCAAGGTGATTGTGATGATTGCAGAAGCACACATATTTCAAGATGAAACCTTCTTCAGACTCTGTCTTTGAGTGAGCATATTGAGAAAAGCCCCTCTGACCTTGAACATGTAGTATAAGCAAGAAGTAAAGGTTTTTTGTTAAGCCACTGAGATATTAGGATTGTTCTGGTGGCAAACCTAGCCTATCCTGAAGGATATAAAAACTGGCACCTAGACACGGGGTAATGTAATAACAACAATAATCAAAGTAAACATTTGTTTAGAGGGCAGTAACTAAGAACACTGTTATCAGAAGGTTAAAGGATGGTGATCTATTTGGTGAACATATCACTGTGATAATTTAGAAGACATATCATGAACCTAATGAACTAAGGCAAGAGATTGTGAAACAAAATATTAGTAGCATGTGTTGATGGCTGTTGGATGCATTTAGAAACTTATTACAAAAACGAGATGAGGGCTTCCCTGGTGGCACAGTGGTTGAGAATCCGCCTGCCAATGCAGGGGACACGGGTTCGAGCCCTGTTCTGGGAAGATCCCACATGCCGCGGAGTAACTAAGCCCGTGCGCCACAACTACTGAGCCTGTGCTCTAGAGCTCGTGAGCCACAACTACTGAGCCCGTGTGCCACAACTACTGAAGCCCGCGTGCCTAGAGCCCATGCTCTGCAACAAGAGAAGCTACAGCAATGAGAAGCCCATGCACCACAACAAAGAGTAGCCCCCGCTCTCCACAACTAGAGAAAGCCGGCACCCAGCAATGAAGACCCAACACAGCCAAAAATAAATAAAATAAATAAATTTATATTAAAAAAAAGAGATGAGCTCAGAGAAGATTTGGCCAGTTTGCAAGCAGGAATGAAAGAGACTAGGGACAATCTATAAATTCAGAGTAATGGAGGGATAGAGGAGGCTATTGTTTCTCAATCTCAACTAGTAAAATTAAGGAAGATTTTCAGCAAGAAACGGCTAGTTAAAATCAGCCCTGAAGTATGGCTCAAGTCAAAGGTATGGCCTCAAACCTATTGTTAAAACCTCTGGTTAAATTAAGATGTTACCGAGCATATGCTTTCAATTAGAGAAAAGGGAAAAGGGAGGAAATGGGAGGAAAAGTATGACTCTCCCACCTAAGCCCAATAAGCGCAAAGCACTCAAAGCCAAGTCAGGAGAGAGATAGAGAGACAGCAAGACAAAGAAACAGAGAGAGACAGAGAGAATATGAAAATGAGATGAATGAGAGAGATATTAGCAGGCAGGAGAGCAAGAAAGCAAAGAAACATGGCAAACAATGGAGGCATGTCTAGAAAAGGACTGGCTGTATCTGTTGACACACGGAACGCCTGGAATCAAACAGATAAGAAACCTACATTTTGGGAAGAGTTGCACTGACAAAAGAACATCAGCCTGGATTAAAGGAGACTGTATTTGAGACTTAATATCACTCTGTTCCCCCAACACCACCCCTATTTTTAAAGGCTGGTTTGAAAACCTATTACCTATGCCTGCTTTAGATGTACAGAAGGAAGACTCTCTCAGAGGTCAAGGCCAGGGGTCACAGAAAACAATGGCTAGGGCAGCTACACTTAGGGAGCAGAATCCACATCTAATCAGGGTGTTGGGTAGGGGTGTCCCCCACATGTCTGCTCTGGATTAATGTCCACTGTGGGGTCCCATTCCTCCACTTTCCGATCAGTGTGTCCATTGCAGTTATCCCATCTCTGTCCCACTGCTACATACTGAGAGTATGCCGGGCAGATATCTTGCCTTCGGATGAAGAGTCACATCTGGAGCTGATAGAGAGTCTACTGCGCATCACCCGCTCCCTGGTAAATGAGCTTGATATACCGTGACTAGGTGGGTCTTTAGGGTCGTCCCCCTTGAGGAGAGAGTGGAATTCTGCCTGTGGGAGGACAGTAAGCCAAACATTTGGTGAACAGAAAGGGAGACTGTTCGAGTCATTAGTGTTGTTTCCCAAATATTCCTGGCTCTCTCCCTTTGAGACACTTGGCAGGATTACAGAGCTTTAAAGTTAGGCATGGCCACGTAACTTGCTCTGGCCAAGGATGCATGAGCGGGAGGACAGTGTGTCACTTCCAGGTGGATGCTCTGAGAGCCACTGAATGAGTTGCCACCTTCCCTCTACCCAGCCGAGACCGTAAGGAGAAGCATGCAACAAGATGAAGCCTTCTTCAGCCCAAATCCATGGGGAATGGAACTCCCCTGCAGACCCACAGCGGGGACATGGCATGAGCAAGAAATAAACTTCCCTGCGTTAAGCCACTGAAATGGTAGTGCTGTTTGTTAAGGCAGCATAGCCCAGCCTTTCCTGATACTAGGAGTGAAGGATGGGGCTGGACAGCAGGAGCTAGGTTGTGAAAGGCGCCCTCTCCCCCGCAAAGGCATCCGAACCCTCTCCTGGTTGTGAGGGGAAGCCAATGAAGGCTTCCAAGCAAGGGCGTTAACATGAAAAGATCTGTTATTTTTTGGATGAAATATGCTATTTCTCAACATAAGGAGAAAATCAGCCTACTAAACCACATAAGGCAGAGTGGAACACACAGAACACTTAGGCAAAAGATATATATTTATGTAAAGTCCTAAGTTTTGAAGTTTCTAAATACAGGAGCTCTGAAAGGAGGCTTTGAAAGGAGCTACAGAGAATCGGGCAAGACAATTTCTTCCATCCCACCATCCAAGGGCCGTTTCCTCTGCAGACAACCAATACTTTACAAGAGTCTCCCTCAGCAGAGAAGATATAAAAAGGGAATGTAACACACACCTGAAGTCTACTTCCAGTTGCCTGTGTGACCTAAGCAGGATACTTAACCTCTCTGGGCCTAGTTCCTCATATACTAAATCCAGATAATACTATATGTAGCCCAAGACAGTTGTAGGGAAAACTATATAAATTACTCTGGTGAATGCTGGGCTGATGGTAGGTGTTTAATACATGACATTCAATCTTATTACTGTTATCATTAAAATTATTTTAAAAACACCAGCTCCCTGATTACAGAAGAAAACGATTCAGGGCAACAATATAGAGCAGAATGTTCCCTCCTTGAGGAAAGTAACCGGCTCGTGTCATCACTGTACCCTTACCCCCACCCAGTTCAGTGCCTGGCTCCCAGTAGCTACTGTTTTCCCCTGCTGCACAAGGCAATGAGAGGCAAGTGCTGGAGTAAAGGAAAGCTGTCAAGATTTCCCTGACACCAGCTGCTGCCGGGCTGTTGGATCTGAACTCTCAAAGCCACAAATACCTTAAAGCTCTGGGCTATGAACCCAAGGCTGAATTCCCCCAAGCTCAGAAGCTGAAAAGCCAGAATTAGAACCTAGGAACATAAGCTGCTGCAGGTCCAACTTCAAGCCCCAGTCCTGGAGAAAACCCTGGAAGGAACCGACTTCTGACCCTTTCCTCCCTCACCCTCCTGCCCTAACTGCTCCTCGCAGCATCAGTCCACCTGGTCCTGCCAAGTCACACTCTTACATCCTGGCATTCCATCGACGCTCTGGGAAACTCCGAAGAAGGGCAGAGAAGGGGGCTGATGGAGACCACCTCCTAGCCCTGGAGGCGATGACTCTATGCTAACTCAGCCCAGTAAGGTGGGTCTCACCAGCCCCACCTGCAGATGAGGGAACTGAAGCTCAAAGAAGTTCTCTGATTTGCTCACTTCACAACGTGGCAGCGCTGGCCACGAGAGAACCCACGATTCCCGACTTCGCTATTCTTCCCACCATACACTTTTGTCCCTAAGGGGTGAGGGGTTGGGGGAGAATAAAATAACAACCACAGAAAAGGAACCACTTACATGGGTCTAGCGCTTCCTAGAGGCTACACAGGATATGGGCCCACCGGCCGGCCGGGAGCGGAGAAATTTTAAATCTTGATTCTACTCCTGACTCGCTGTGTGACTTTTGGCAAGTGTCTGCTGCTCTCGGACTAGTTTTCCCGGAAGCAAATCAGGACGGGAGGAGTGGTGTGTGTGTGTGTGTGTGTGTGTGTGTGTGTGTGTGTGTGTGTGTGTGTGTGTGTTCGTGTGTACGTGGGATGTGTGGTGTGTCTATGCATCTTGTGCGGGGGCGGGGAGTAGGCGATCACCGGGTTCCCCGAGTTTCGGATTCCCTAAACGCTCGTTCCCAACTAGACACCGAGCTGCCCGCTAATTCCACCTCCTGTAAGAAACCTCCTCTCCGAGGCAAAGCTGTGAACCCCCGCACCCTTTCTCCCACGGTCAGGAGGGTGAGGTGGGGTGCGGCGGGGACTTAGCTGAACACCAGGTTTCAAGCAATGCAAATCACTCGGCTTCCAGGTGCAGCCGGACAGTCGCTCTTGAACTTGATCAGGAGACAAACTTCAGAGCGTTCTCAACGTGGGGGGCCGACTCGCAAGAACCGCCCCTAAACTTAAAAACCCACTTTCACTCGTCCCCACAGGAGACTTAACAGAGCCACCTTAAGGGCGGTGCTCCCGCCCCCCCGGAAGTGCGGGGGGGGGGGACCGGGACCCGGGCGCTCTGCCGGCCCGCCCCTCGCGGCGGCGAAATGACATCGAGCCCTGAAGTGGGGAAATACCACCCGCCCCGCGCCCTCAGCCCCAGACACCTGGCCCGGTTCCCCCGCCTTCTGGGTCCCGCATCCCCTGCCTTCCCGCCCCGAGCCCTGAACTTCAGCCCGCTTCCTTCAGAGGCTGCGAGCGCCCGAGTCCGCCCGTCTCGCGGCAGCCACCGTCACTAGGCAGTCAAACTCCAAGACGTCAGCCCACAATGCACCGGGCGGGCCGGGAAAGACGCGCCGGGGAGGGGAGAAGGAAGACAGGGGCTCAAGTCGCCTGGAGGGGGAGGCGGGGGGGAGGAGGAGAAAGAAGGGCCCAACTGTAGGAGGGCAACAGAGCATTACCTCATCCCGTGAGCCTCCGCGGGTCCAGAGAAGAATCTTCTAGGGTGGGGTCTCCATGGCGACGGGTGGGCCCGCCCTCCTGAGAGCGACGCGAGCCAATGGGAAGGCCTTGGGGTGACATCATGGGCTATTTTTAGGGGTTGACTGGTAGCAGATAAGTGTTGAGCTCGGGCTGGATAAGGGCTCAGAGTTGCACTGAGTGTGGCTGAAGCTGTGAGGCGGGAGTGGAGGTACGCGGCCGCAGGCAGGCAGACAGGCACAGTCAGCTGGGAAGGACTGCAAATCTTATTTTCTTTTCCATTTTCTCTCCAACGGCCCGGAGCTAGTGCTTGTGGTTCCCGGGCTGGTGTTCTGGGGAGCGCCGGGAGAGCCCCTTCTCCAGCCGCCCCCAGGCGGAGAGAGCCCAGCTGCGCTAGCGCTGCTGACAGCGTGGAGAGCGGCCACTGTCCGCCCGGGGAAGTCAGGAGAACGGCTGCAGCGGCAAGAAGTTTCCCAGCCAGGAGGACAGGAGACAAGTGGCCGCCGGGTCCCGGAGCGAACTTTTGCAAAGCTTTCCTTTGCAAAGGAAGCTGCCGCGGCGGCGGTAGAGAAAAGGAGGCGGCAGAGACAGGAGGACGTGCGCTCCGCTTCGCTCGAACCCGTTGCTGAACTTGGGCGAGCGCGAGCCGCGGCTGCCGGGCGCCCCCTCCCCCTCGCAGCGGAGGAGGGGACAGTCTTCGGAGTCGGGGCGGCGGAGACCCGCCGCCGGCCGGCCACCGCGGGGTCCGCGCTACCTGCTGCCGCCGGGAAGCGAGTTCGTCCGCGGGCTCCGAGGAACCTCTGGGCCCGAGAGAGCTCCGGGAGTGACCGCGACTTTTCAAAGCCGGGCGGCGCGCGCGAGCGGACAAGTAAGAGTGCGGGCGGCGTCTTAACCCTGCGATCCCCCGGAGCGAGCCGGTGAGGAGGGCGCCGGGGGAGGCCAGCCGGCGGGGGCGCGCGCTCTTCCAGAAACTTTCCTTGCTCAAGGCCCGGGGAGGCGCGTGTGTCCCCCGCTTGCCAGCGCGCTGTTACGGCCCCGAAACTTCTGCGCGCAGCCCAAACTAACCCCACGTGAAGTGACAGACTGTTCTATGACTGCAAAGATGGAAACGACCTTCTACGACGATGCCCTCAACGCCTCGTTCCTCCAGTCCGAGAGCGGCGCCTACGGCTACAGTAACCCCAAGATCCTGAAGCAGAGCATGACCCTGAACCTGGCCGACCCCGTGGGCAGCCTGAAGCCGCACCTCCGGGCCAAGAACTCCGACCTCCTCACCTCGCCCGACGTGGGGCTGCTCAAGCTGGCGTCGCCCGAGCTGGAGCGCCTGATAATCCAGTCCAGCAACGGGCACATCACCACCACGCCGACCCCCACCCAGTTCCTGTGTCCCAAGAACGTGACGGACGAGCAGGAGGGCTTCGCCGAGGGCTTCGTGCGCGCCCTGGCCGAACTGCACAGCCAGAACACGCTGCCCAGCGTCACGTCGGCGGCGCAGCCGGTCAGCGGGGCGGGCCTGGTGGCCCCGGCCGTGGCCTCGGTGGCGGGCGGCGGCGGTGGCGGCGGCGGCGGCGGCGGCTTCGGCGCCAGCCTGCACAGCGAGCCGCCGGTCTACGCCAACCTCAGCAACTTCAACCCGGGCGCGCTGAGCGGTGGCGGCGGCGGCGGCGGGGCGCCCTCCTACGGCGCGGCCGGCCTGGCCTTTCCCGCGCAGCCTCAGCAGCAGCAGCCGCCGCCGCCGCCGCCGCCGCCGCCGCACCACCTGCCCCAGCAGATCCCCGTGCAGCACCCGCGGCTGCAGGCCCTGAAGGAGGAGCCGCAGACGGTCCCCGAGATGCCCGGGGAAACGCCGCCCCTGTCCCCCATCGACATGGAGTCCCAGGAGCGGATCAAGGCGGAGAGGAAGCGCATGAGGAACCGCATCGCTGCCTCCAAGTGCCGGAAAAGGAAGCTGGAGAGGATCGCCCGGCTGGAGGAAAAAGTGAAAACCTTGAAAGCGCAGAACTCGGAGCTGGCGTCCACGGCCAACATGCTCAGGGAACAGGTGGCCCAGCTTAAGCAGAAAGTCATGAACCACGTTAACAGTGGGTGCCAACTCATGCTAACGCAGCAGTTGCAAACGTTTTGAGGCGAGACTGTCGGGGGCTGAGGGGCAACGGAGAACAAATAACCCAGAGAGGGACAGACTTGAGAACTTGACAAGTTGCGAGAGAGGGAGAAAGAGAGAAAAAAGAAGTGTCCGAGAACTAAAGCCAAGGGTTTCCAAGTTGGACTGGGTTGCGTCCTGACGGCGCCCCCAGTGTGCACGAGAGAGAAGGACTTGGCGCGCCCTCCCTTTGGCAGGGAGCCAGGGAGCGGCCGCCCGCGGGCTGCCCCGCTTTACGGTCGGGCTGTCCCCGCGCAAACAGAACGTTAGACTTTTCTTTAACATTGACCAAGAACTGCATGGACCTAACATTCGATCTCATTCAGTATTAAAGGGGGGAGGGAGGGGTCGCAAACTGCAATAGAGACTGTAGATTGCTTCTGTAGTGCTCCTTAAGAACACAAAGGGGGTGGGGGGGGGGGAGGCGGGAGGGAGGTTTGCGAGAGCGAGGCCCAGTCTGCAGATGAACTCCTTCTGGACTGCCTTCCATAACTGTGTATGTACATGTATATATTTTTTAATTTGATGAAAGCTGATTACTGTCAATAAACAGCTTCACGCCTTTGTAAGTTATTTCATGTTTGTTTGTTTGGGTGTCCTGCCCAGCGTTGTTTGTAAATAAGAGATTTGGAGCACTCTGAGTTTACCATTTGTAATAAAGTATATAATTTTTTTATGTTTTGTTTCTGAAAATTCCAGAAAGGATATTTAAGAAAATACAATAAAATATTGAAAAAGTGACCCCTCCCCCAACCTCTTTTCTGCATTACCTGTAGATTACTTTGCCAGGTGGAGCTGAAAGAGTTAAGAGTGTCCATTAAAATCACTATCAGTGCTTCTTACTATCAAGCAGTGAAAACTGTTACCTACTGGAGTTAAGAGATAACTGTAGCTGATTCCCTCATCGAGTTATACTCTTTCCTCCCCAACAAGCTATACAGAGTGGCTTACAAAGGATAATGTGGCATTTCAGGAGGCTGAGGGAAGGGAGGTTGTGGTGGAGAGGGGCAGCTCCCTGGGAAGTCAAACGTTTTAAAGTTTGGATCATATCAAGTGGCATGTGCTGTGACCATTTATAATGTTAGTAGAAATTTTAACAATAGATGCTTATTCTCAAAGCAGGAACAGTGGCAGATTTTTACAAAAGATGTATCCTTCCAATTTGGAATCTTTATTTTAACAATTCCTAGATAAAAGAGATGGTCTTTGCATATGAATATTTATAACAGCATTCTTGTCACAATAAACGTATTCAAATACCAATAACAGATCTTGAATTCCTTTCCCTTTACTACTTTTTTTCTTCCCAAGCTCTGTTCTGGAGCATTGCTTTTCAGTTGCTGGGGTTAACATTACTGCCATCTGAAGTTATTTGGTAATTAAGAAGCAAAGAATTTATGAAAAGTCAACACAGAAATTGCAGTCTGGATGAGACATTCTCCCAGCTTCATTCATCCTCATTCGCCTTCTCTCTCTCTCTCTCTCTCTCTCTGTCTGTGTCTCTCTCCTCTTTCGCTTTCCACACACCCCCTCCCTATGCCTAGACAAATTACCAGTATAGCAGTTTATCATTTCAGATTCTTCTATAGTTTCTTAATTTGTCTCTAAAATAATCAGCCTTGTTTAAATAATTATTATAGAATCGGTCTCAAAAGATGGTACTCTAGATACTATAAAAAAATACACAAGAGAAAACATGAACACCAGTACAATGATTATGTCTATAAATCAAACCTTCACTCTGGAGAAATGGCAGACTTAAATCCTGTCTACAGATATAACTTAAGAGATCAACAAGGCAGCCCTCAGCAAGGGAACAATTTTTGCTTGGTTGCTTTTCATCCCAAGAGCCGGTATGATTATCAAGCAGCAAAAGCAATTTGATATCCAGGAATACTTCCCCAAACCACTAATTGAGGCAGGGCTGTTTGCTCATTAGCAGTGCTCTAGTACCCAACAGGTCTGGGAGTGCTAATATCCTGCCTGTGGCTGTAAATCCAAAGACACAGAGAGTTTCTCCTCGGGAGAGTGTCCAGGAGTGGAAGGGATTGGACTGACTTATTAGCTATCAGGTCCACTCCATTGGAACAACACTTATTTAACAAAGGGTTACTGGGAGCAGATACACTTCTCCAAACAGTGAATTTGCCCATGTCAGCAACCCGGAAGGTGAGTTGATTTTGGCCATTTGTAGAAATAGTCAGAAGAGGGACAATAAAGCACTTTGGGGTGGGGCTCTGTGGAAGCTAAACAAGAGCCAAGTAGAAAAAATAAGCAGGCTGGGGAATTAATTACCTGCAAAGGTAGACTAAGCCCAGACGACAGTGCAGCACAGAAAAGCCACACCACTCCCCAGTTTGCTTTAGACTCTGACTTTTTTTTTTTTTTTTTTTTTTTGCGGTACGCGGGCCTCTCACTGTTGTGGCCTCTCCCGCTGCGGAGCACAGGCTCCGGACGCGCAGACCCAGCGGCCATGGCTCACGGGCCCAGCCGCTCCGCGGCATGTGGGATCTTCGCGGACCGGGGCACGAACCCGTGTCCCCTGCATCGGCAGGCAGACTCTCAACCACTGCGCCACCAGGGAAGCCCCTAGACTATGACTTTAAGAAAAATAAAAAGCCTGAAACTCAGGCCTATCCCTACCCTTGTTTGTTTCAACTATCGTTCTGAATGTATATCTCTGAAATTGTAACAAAAGGGATAGAAAAAAAATTGTGGTAGAGGAAATTCAGCAGTAACCTGTAAACTCTGGAGACAGAAAATCAGATACTTATAGACCCTCAAAGGTCAATGTTATTTTGGCATTCAATGAGTTATTGTTTGGGTAACACTAATGGTTGGAGAAGATGAAGCTAGTGGCACATGAAACCATTGATCCTCTTTTAATCTGTCTTACATATGTATATTTCAGAGATTCTTAACACTTTGTGTCCATTGGGGCAGAGGATTCATGAACTCAATGAAAATGCCTACAAAATTGTGTTTGTGTACGGGTGTGCCCACATGAACACACACTCCCCTAGGGAGAGAGATCATTAAGCTCTATTTGGTTCTCAAAAAGTTCCATGACTCGAAAAAGGTTAATAATTTCTAAGCTGAATGGCTACACATTCACTATGAGAAACATATCTTTGTGTGAATCTGAATTTCATGCCTTTTCACCCCTCCATGCTTCTGCTTGTACTCATCCCTCTGACTGGGATACCTTTCCTTCTGGCTCAATTGCTGAATCCTACCCATTTTTCAAGGTTTGGTAAAAGTGCCACCTTCTCTGTGACGCCTTCCTTGCTAACTCCCTCTTCAGGTGGAACGAATATTCCCAATTACGCATCCACAACATTTTATCCAAACTTCTGTGATAGCACTTATCAAAGTATTATCATCGTGAACCTCTGTGTCTCTTGGCTAGAACCTATCCTACTCGTCTGTGGAACCCAGACTCCTAGTACAGTGCCTGGTTACATAGGAGACGTTTATAAAATGTGTGTTGACTGAATAGACAATTGAACTGAAATGCTCCAAAATAATTCCAGGTCTTAACGTCTTCTAGTGAAATATACCTCATCCATTTCCAGGCGAACAACGCCAGATGGATTGAAGACCCTCAGAAAAGTCAAACGTGGCCAATCACCAGGTGCTAAAGCCTAGTTCTCAATGAGTGCTCTTAGAAGAATTAAACTGTTAGCACATTCATTCTTCCAGCCACACAGAGCATCCCTTCCCTCCTCCACTAAGCGGGCATCTTCTCATATAAAATGGGCCTGCGTGAAACATTAGGCTTGGAGGTGGAGATAGGGAAGGATATGTGATCGTTAGGCAGGCACAAAAAATA